TTGCCTGTTTGGTTCTGAGGCTTCGGTGATTTTTAGGTAGAACTGCCATAAAATATGTATTGTAGAATACGCTCTCATAGGCATACCAAAAATGTATCTTGCAGAAAGCCACGTTGATTCAAATACCAAGTCCGATGACAAGGAACGACTGACCAACGGTCAAGCCAACACAGACAACGGCGTTCAAGGCTGTCGTAATCCCCTCTTTGTGGATGACGAGCAGGACGTCGCGGGCAGCGAGAACAGGAAGGAAGTCGCGGGAGATGCCCACAGACCGGCCGCCAGTGGACAGAGCGCCGCGTCCACCAGTTCCAGCGGTCGAGACAAGGACACCGCCGAGAGTGAAAAGCCAAAGAACACGGCGAACAAGCAAAAACAGTCGTCAGTGTCTCAGAAAACAAACTTGGTCCCCGGCACAGAGGACGAGCAGTTATCGGAAGATGAAGCCGAAATATCCGAAAAGCCATCGGCGACGAAATTGAAATCTGGCACCTCAACTTTGTGTAAAAGAGATAGAAAGGAGAGCGTTTCCGTGGGTGGTGGTAATCTGGCGGCTGTTCGCGGTAGCGGTGAAAACACACAGGAAGAGGGGGGTGGCGGCGATGAAAAGGACTTGAGATCTGAGGTAGCAGCGGACTTTAGAGAATGTGGGTTCGAGAGCTGTTGTGAAGATTCCGGGGTCGAGCTCAGCTCTGTGGAATGTAAAACCGCCAGCAGACGTGGTTCTCTGTTGGACGGGAAGGGTGTGCTGCCATCTTCCGGTAGGGATCCTGAAAATGACGCCATTTCCGGTCTTGACAAACAGCTGACTTCGCACTCGACGACGGCGGACGTCATCGCCCCCGGGACGGCACTTCATCAAAACCAGATAAATATATTTATTGAAGGTGCAAGTGTTCTGGACTCGTCCTTTGGCGACCTGTCACCCACGCCCACTGCCGACGACTGCCAGCTGGACGGCGGACGATGCGGCGAGGATCTAGCGGAAGACGTTCTCAACTGTTCCTCTGCCCCGTTATCATCCGGGCCAGCCATGTGTGTTGTTCAGCCGGTCAGCTCTGACCATCACCAAACAGATGTCAGGTGAGTGAACCCAATGTTCCATTCTTAGACGTTCAGGTAGGCCCGGAATATTTTTTATTGTTGCCCCATCTGCCCCGAACGAGTGGTGTACAAACTCCGAATGGCCATGTTCAGTTTCTGTGTGGCATAAGATGAGCTACGTCTATAATTGCTGGCATAATAGACAACAAAATAAGACCACCCGTTTACAAGGATATCGGGACCAAGTAGTACCGTACTTACATTGAATAATAAGAGTATATATATATATTTGAAAGTATTTGGATATAAAACAGAAATGTTGAATTATAAGACACATAAAATAAAAGTATACTCGAGCCCTGGGGTAAAGCAATAAGTGTAAAAGCGGGGATTGCCGCCATGATGTACAGTTGCGTATTCTTCCAAGAAAATACACGAAATCGTCATCCCCTGAAGCTGAATGTTCACCTTTCCTGCCCTTTACAAGGGTCAAAGGTCACATGAAGGTGTTTTTTTGGGGGGGAAATGGGGGTTGGTGGGTGGAATATCTTCAAATCAGTGATGACTTAAGCAATGTTTAGAGTTTTAAAAGATCACACATTAGACTAGTCCTCTTGTTGTTGTTTTTACTCCCCAGCTGTTCAAACAGCCCAGCTGTACACAGAGACTCCTATTCATGCCCTTCATTCAGCACGACTCAGCTACTGGCCAACCAGGACGAAGATGACTTTACTGACCTCGGGGTGGCCATGAGTACGAACCTGTAGCCGGAGCGGTGTGTAGCTAGGTGGCCACCACTTGCCTTTCAGAATCAGGCCGAACGATTCCAATGCTGACATGTCACATAATTTATTCTTCTTCGTTAAATCTATGACAAGTAACTCTACACTGTCGGTGAAGGGAGCTAATCCAATTATTTCCAGAATGGTTTTAAAGGTTAACTCCCACCTTTGAAATATTTTTTAAAAATGCAATAACCTTATTTAATCTTTTGAATGTGCTTTGACATTATTTCAAATGTAATTATTTAAACAATATTGTCTATAAAAACAATAAAAGCATTTATTTATGATACTGACTGTGATGCCTTTGTTTTAAACCGATTGGGAAATATGGCGAGACAGCAAGAGAATCGGACAAAATAAAGAATACGATGTTTTAGCTAAATAGATTTTAATTATAGGTTTGAAAAAAAAAAATTAAATTAAATAACCTAATGTGTTAAAGTTAAGTCACGTGATTTCAATTTAACGCCCTTGCTTAAAATTTCAATTCCTATGAATTCCTTTCTATTGGATGGCAAGTCTGGTGTGAGCGGAGATCGTTTCTAGGCGACAGCTTCCGTCTGCTGCCGTGGCCGTTGGATCAACCTTTGCGTTGAGGGGAAGAGAAGACGGTGTAGGATCATTGGGCGTGGTTGTGATCCTTATTTAGAGTTGAGAAATCCACCAGAGGCGACCCCGGAGCCCCGCGGGTACTCCAAGCCTCCACGGTGGGCGGGAGATAGTCGGTTGGTCTGGGGATCGCAGCTGGGAGATATTTGCCTATGGTATGCGTCAATTGGCAAAATTAATGAGGGTGGACCACACAAAACGGGGGGGGACCACAAAAACGGGGGGGGGGGGGGCTGGGATTAGGGATATGTCAGGGAGCTCGTAACAAACTAACCAACATACATACTCTGGTGAGGGTACTGAGATTACTATCTTCTGACCTCGTCTACTACATTGGCTACCAGCTCCATCTGCTGAGCTGAGCTGAGCAACATAACCATCTCCTCACGTAGGGCTCTCCCGCCACCCTGGCCTCCCTTGACACATTCAGTGAGGGACATTCTATCAAAAGATGCTCTTGTGTTTCCGGGACTCAGGCTGCAATGCTGGCAGCTAGTGTCACTGTCATGGTCTAGCATGTTGACCTCGTAACGAACAGCAAACTCCGACAGAAGTTCTGGTAATGGAATGGTGCAATGAAAGTTGGTTGTTGTGGCTTGAGCTCTTCTTTCCTCTTGTGGTGGTGTGGGGATCCCACTGATGGCGCGTAATGCAAGTGTCGGGTGGCAAGCGGGAGGGTCTGTGTCCGGTTGGTCAAATTAGCATATCACAGGCTTGATGAGTGTCTGGGTCGGGAACTCAAAAGTTGGTGCAGTAGGTCATGTTGGTAGGTCATGATGGTAGGTCATGATTGTAGGTCATGTTGGTAGGTCATGATGGTAGGTCATAATGGTAGGTCATGTTGATAGTCATGATGACATGGCAGGTCATTATGGTAGGTCATGATAGTAGGTCATGATAGTAGGTCATGATCGTAGTTCATGATGTTAAGTCATGATGGTAGGTCATGATGGTAGGTCATGATGGTAGGTCATGATGGTAGGTCATGATGGTAGGTCATGATGGTAGGTCATGATGGTAGGTCATGATGGTAGGTCATGATGTTAGGTCATGATGGTAGGTCGTGATGGTATCACCGGGACCGGGTGCGGGCCTTTGGCTGCGACGTGCTGTAAAAAAACTTTGGAGATGTTGGATACAGCCGGGGAAGTTGGAAGCTCTGACCCTAATAGATTTTGCCACGCTTGCCCTGTATAATGAATATTGCCCTGTCTAGTGAACATTGCCCTGCCTACTGAACATTGCCCGATCTATTTGCGTAAAGACGAGTCCGATTACTAGGTGCGGTCTGAGCCAGGCCATCGCGCGCCTTTCGGTCTTTGGTCTCACACGAACGGCTGCGAGCGTGTTGGCTGATGCGATGCTCAAGAGTGAGATCTTCATAGTGCTTCGTGCAATATCTAACTTACCTAACCTCTATTCAAAATAACTTTGTTTACCTTATTGTCAAACAGTAAAACGCTAAGTTCACGCCTGGTGTTACTAGTTCTGGCCAACTACAGAATTCCAGAGATGATCGGCTCATCAGACAAATGCTAGTTAGTTTTTTTCGGGTCACTTACTTATAACAATAAAAAGTGTACATCTAAAAGCTAATGATCCCAACTTGTGCTATTAAAGTCATGATTTCAGTGTAGCCTAGTTAGTAATTGTAGCACTATTCATTACTTAACTGACAGCTCTTGAATACAATAAAATTATTTTCAGCTGATGATAATTTTTTTTAAAACCCTTGATGGTAAGTTCAGGTATCAGTTTGGGTTCAAGACATTCTTACGTGCCGTACTTTGGACATTTCAAAACTATTTTACATACCTACGAATGACACACACACACACACACACACACACACACACACCGTGGGCACGTGCTTTCTTACTTACTACAAAAATATGGTGTTCATTGGACAACAACCGATCTCCATCTCTCTCTGGCAGCCGATTTAAAACAATCATTGTCAGTGTTAAAGTCAGTGTTAAAGTCAGTGTTAAAGTCAGTGTTGAAGTCAGTGTTAAAGTCAGAGTTTAAGTCAGTGTTAAAGTCAGTATTGAAGTCAGTGTTAAAGTCAGTGTTAAAGTCAGTGTTAAAGTCAGTGTTGAAGTCAGTGTTAAAGTCAGAGTTGAAGCAAGTGTTGAAGTCAGTGTCAATGCTAGTCTCCTAATTATCAAAGAAGTATTCTTCCAACGCCGTCCTCCGTATTTCGATGTCTTCCTTCCTTCTTTTTCCTCCTGTTACCATCCAGTGTACCCTCAGATTTTTTTATCAACTGCTGTGAAACGCGCGAAGAGGTATCCTTCAAATAGCATCCCGCGTAAATATACCGTTATTTCCAAACTGAGTGAACACATGTTCTTAAAGCACAGTCACGTTCTAGGCTATGTTACCTGGCAGCCACAAAGAAAGGGAAAGTACTAACTGGTAGATAGTGTTACGCTCTGGCTTCTATTGTGAGGACTTAATCTCTTATTTTAATTGTATGGCTCGTTCAAAACAGTGCATAACAAAAGGACGATACCATAGAGAAATACAATAACAAAAATACGACACCTAAAACAGTACCAATTACAATTAATGAGATTTAATTTAGTAATAATACAATTACAAAACAAAAGAAATATAATCACAAATCATCAACTTACAAAGTATGTGAAAATCTTTTACCGGTACACTGTTGTTAGTACAATGTGCCAATTAATAATGATGAATGATCAATGCGAATAAACACATATGAGTACACAATTGTCTCGTAAAGTTAATAATCTCTATCCTCGTCTATCTCAATATCCGTCTGAATCTCTCTCTCAATCTCCGAAACCCTTTATTTATATAGTGTGTCTACCGACGCGTCCAGAAACGCCTTTATTTTTCTAATACAATCGCGAACATTCGACAAAACACCACTGAGAACAAGTTAATTATTTTTAGTTGCTGTCGGCAATAAACACGACAGTTTAAAAGACTACGCCACGCCCATCTATGAACGTAGTGTCTCATGTGGGGTCAACCAAAGTGCACGCACGAGGAAAGTGTTGTAAACAAGCTCTACATAACAATATTCATTTCATGAAAGAAAGGTACTGGAAAAATACCCGGTGTTTTTTTTTTATATATAGATTTTATTTTTAAAAATAGTATAAATATATCAAATAAATATTTATAACAAAAAAAAAAGTTTTACAAGGAGTGAGTCATTATTACTATTTGATAAGAGATATTGTCTTTGATAATGAAAACCATTTAATTTGATAACCGCTGGGCCGTCAAATAACCACGGCCAACACCTTAGGTTTTAAGTCTATTTTATGGCCTTATTTTGATTCCGATTATGTTCAGGGAATAAAAAGTCCAAATTACACGACAACGTTGAATAGTTGAATAGGTTAAGTTGAATATGAAGCGAAATTGAACTTGATTTGTCCAAGTGATACAAAGCTTTTAATAGTTCATCACAATCGTTATTGTGTTTTGCGAAGAAAAAAAAAGCAAGATAATATTTTAAGGATTTTTTTTTTTAATTGGAGAAAACAAGTTTAGGTCTCTGGTACTTCACAGAGATATCGAGGATTAAATGTCCTATCCAGTTGAAAGCAGTGGTAATCATCCATCAACCAGCTAAAATCTGCCCACAGGTACACACAGTTGGTTGTCGGGTCGACTATCGGCTGACCGGGTGCCCAATTTGTGTATGTCATGGCCCTGCCGTCACGCTGATAGTACCAGACATGCTCGTGTCCGTCGTCCGTGCCTCCGATGAGAACCATCCTGTAATCGATGTTGCTGCGAGTTTTGATGAAGTTTTGTACGAAATGCAACTCATCGTCGTCATCGATCTCGGCGAGATAACCCCCGTACAATTCACACGATTCCTGGGCCACGGGGGCAGACGCGATGTCGGCCAGTTTAGACAAGAGATACCTGCGTCCTTTGTACAGAGAGGAGATTTCAAACCTCGCGTTCTTCATCAGTTCAAGTCTGGTCTGCCAGCACCCTGTAGAATATTAAACATGTTTGTGAGAAACATAATAATTTCTATTTGATATATACTTTTTATTTATATTTTTTATATATGTTTTAGCCCAAGCTACGAAGCATTTGTGCTTTAAATGGAAAGAGTGGGATAAACAAACAGACCACCTGTTTCGAGGGTCTGGGCTCAAATCCCGGACAGGCCCCCACATAAAAAGAAAATTTGCCTATGGGATCGATCTTCTACCACAGTCACACAATATGAATTGTATATAAAACAATAGAGAAGACTTTGCAACATGGTTGTAAAAAAATTTTTAAAAAACACATTTTTTTACGATGATTTATATTTTCCATCAAAACCTTATTTTACATTTGCATTTTCACATTATCTCACTTTTATATCACAAAATAGCAGCAGCTTAAGTTCTAGGCTCTGGCCATTGTCTCGACTTCGATGTTCCCTGCGAAATGACATAAAAAACGCACAGACATCTGATTGTGCCATTTCTACTAATAACGTTAAGCTTCGCTCGGCATCTCGTCAATCAGTTTTAAAGGCGTGCCTCACCCGCACTCTCTTTTCCATGATCACCATCTCATTTTCAAAAACATGTCGTGGCTCTAATACGTTGACACTTTCTACAAAAGAGATTCATGATAAACACAAGCACAAATTCCACAAAAAAAATTATTGATAGATCCAGATTAATATCCCGCAGAGAATTGTGTGTCCATTTTGAGATAGTCTACTGCTGTAACATGTGAACATGTGGATCGGATGAGACTTGCACTTTTGAATTTGAAGGCCTTTTGGTCCAATATGACCTGAACTGGACTTCGAGTTTTTGTGTAGTCCCCCATAATAAATTAAAGTTTCAAAATGTCAGTACTTTTTATTCCCTTGGTTGTTTTTTCCCGAAAGAACACTAAAAGGGCCACTAATGGCCCGGGATATTGTGCAGGGCCACTAATGGCCAGGGGGGATATTGTGCAGGGCCACTAATGGCCAGGGATATTGTGCAGGGCCACTAATGGCCAGGGATATTGTGCAGGGCCACTAATGGCCAGGGATATTGTGCAGGGCCACTAATGGCCAGGGATATTGTGCAGGGCCACTAATGGCCAGGGATATTGTGCAGGGCCACTAATGGCCAGGGATATTGTGCAGGGCCACTAATGGCCAGGGATATTGTGCAGGGCCACTAATGGCCAGGGATATTGTGCAGGGCCACTAATGGCCAGGGATATTGTGCAGGGCCACTAATGGCCAGGGATATTGTGCAGGGCCACTAATGGCCAGGGATATTGTGCAGGGCCACTAATGGCCAGGGATATTGTGCAGGGCCACTAATGGCCAGGGATATTGTGCAGGGCCACTAATGGCCAGGGATATTGTGCAGGGCCACTAATGGCCAGGGATATTGTGCAGGGCCACTAATGGCCAGGGATATTGTGCAGGGCCACTAATGGCCAGGGATATNGCTGCTCACTCCACCAGATTAACCCCGAGCTGCTCACTCCACCAGATTATCCCCGAGCTGCTCACTCCGCCATATTAACCCCGAGCTGCTCACTCCACCATATTAACCCAAGCTACTCACTTTACCATATTAACCCCAAGCTGCTCACTCCGCCATATTAACCCCAAGCTGCTCACTCCACCATATTAACCCCGACAGCTTTAAACAGGGAAGAACAGAAGAGATGAAATGTTTAAGACTGTGTTTGACCCGTGAAAAAAAATATATTTATAACAAACCTACCCCATCTGCATTTAGAGTTTTATTTTATTGGTTCCTTAATTTAACTGCCACATAAGAAACTTGTATAACATGTATTAATTCCAGTATATCATGCAAGGAATATTCAATACATTTGGCTATCAGTTAATATCTTTGAAAAATTCAAAATTGGCAACAAAGATAGAAAATTAATTGGAATTATAGTTAGGTGACTAAAGAATGAGAGATCACCATACCTGATATGCAAATATTTTCCAAAGCGTATTTCATGTTGATCTTAAGATTTCGAAGTTCATCCACCAACTGCCTGATACTGGGCACCTCACTCGTGACCTGAGTTGTAGACATCACACTTATTGGGTGTCCTGTACCGTCCACGCCATTAGCCACACATTTATAAAGTCCAGCCTCCTGGTCACCCGGTAATGTCCAGTGCATGCTGAGATAAGACTGGCCGAGATTGCTGATGAATCCTGAGACTGTCGCATTGCCATGAGCTACATTACTGATGTTACCAGTAAATGAATTCACAGACGCGATTTCTTGGTAGTCGATATTCTCTAGGTCTCTGGATCGAGATATGAACAGTGAAACAAGGCTGGCCATTTCAGGATCACTGCCATGAGTAAACGAGCATCTGAGATCTAGGCTAGGAGTTAGACCGATCTCAATCATGGTGGGTTGGGCGATAAACTGCAGGGCTGAAGCTGGAAAAAGATGCATTTTCAAATGATTCAAGTTTTTTTGTTTTTTTAAAAATTAATTGATGTATTGATTATATTAGTGTCACAAATTTTGAGCTCGTCACTTATTTCAATTTTTTTCAAGACTGTCAAAATCGTCAGAATATCTTTTTAAATCATATATAATAACTTCGTTTTTGTTCGTGGCTGCCTGGTTGGCAAAAACTTCGAACGGCTGGTTCACCCACTTCCCGTCAAAGTGTCTAGTTGAAACTGGGCATATAATCTCGTTGCCAAATGACAACAGATTCTATCAAATGTTCAGCCCCAACTCCTACCCGAAACCCTAAAAATCTGTTTTTCCTTTTTTCTTCAATGAAAAGATGAAGGAAATATGATGCCACTGATTTCAGGCAATAAAATTCATGATAACTGCGCTTAATGAGAATCATAAAAAATATCGCAAGTGCGTTATGCGAATTTTATATTTTCTTTTCTATTTCAGAAATATTTGGTGAACTAAATTTGCGCAGTAAAATTGGGTGGGACATTAGAATATTAAAATAACATAAAATTATTTTTTAAATGCATATACATTATATTTATACGAAAAAAAAATGTTTTTAAGAGTTGTTTATTTTGAAAGCCTGTCACTCGAAAGCTGAAGGAAAATGAATAAAATAAATATACTTTGTTCCATTTTTTTTTTTTTTAAATTTACAAAGAAGCAACTGCCGTGCCTTGAAAAGGATTGATTCAATGCTGGCAATTGACATGACATAGTTGATTATTAAGAAAACAAATATTTTCCTATCACTGCTTAAGAAATTGTCAGTGTACTTACAAAAGCTAATTTTATAATTCTAAATTACTTGTTAGTGGCCCGTTAAAATTGCAAGGAAGAAATGATTTTTAAATTATTCTATTTTACGCATTCAATCGCTAATAATTAGTTGGTTTTTTTTTTTTAAATTACACAGTAATTATATATATATATTTTATATCTAAAGCACCGTTATGTGTGTTAATGTGAACAAATATGTATAGGACGTTTTATGTTCCACATATTGAGCTGCCTTAACGTTTACCACACAAAAATGTATTTACACCCATACCCGCAGTGGTATGATCAGTTGTATCATCATTTCGCATTTATGTGAGTTCTTCTTGATGCTGCATACTTGAAATGTCAAACAAATCCACTAAAACTGGCTGCATCGTGCAACTTGGAAAATGCATTTGTTTAAAATCAGAAAATCTTTCTTTTAAAATAGCCGATAGAATTTTCAGATGATCAAAAATAACAAGTATAACGGTCTCAATCACTTCAAAGTTTTGGAGCCAATGACACTTTAAAAAAAATTTTCCTCTAAATATTTTATGACATAATTCCGTAAAATGAAACCAAATATCTTCGCTTTTATAATCAACAAGTGTTTTATTTGTTCCTTGAAGTTGGTTATTTAATATATTTAGCTTTTCAAAGATATCGGCTATAAATGACTCACACATGCTTCACCATCGACCGTTAACAGATACTTCATATCAGGTTGTCCCTTTTAAAAATCTTAAGAGTATTAAATAGTCTCATCAATCTTGTCAAGCTATTTCCCCTCGAAAGCCATCTTTCTTTAGTGTGAGGTAAAAGTCTCACATAGTTTGCATTTCATTCTTCACAAAAAAGCCTGAAGAGACGTTCACATTTGGTGTTAGCTTTAACAGCATTGATACACTTTAGAACTGAATTAAGTACTTCATTTAGAACAGGCGACATGTTTTCAGCTACTAAGTTTTTCCTACGAATCACACAATGCCCAAGTAGCATTTCTGGATACTCGACTTAGATCAATGTTAAGCAGCCATTTTTCTTGCCCATCATATTAGGAGCACCATCTGCAGCACACGACATTATATTTTTCATTGGTATGTTATTGATATGTGAGTAACTTTTTAGCTTGTTATACATATATATTTGGCGGAAGTGGTGCTTTATAATGGTTTACAAAACAACATTTCTTCGGCTAAATGCCCTTTATCAAAAGATCTGACGTAATTTATCAATATAGCCTCGCTGTCTCTCAAATTTTATTCATCCATTTGTACTCAGATAATTTTTTCAGCTTTGATATTGATGGTTTGATGAAATTCTCTCCTATATTATGATTTTTTCCAAGAGTTAGTGATGAGTAAGGAAATTTCATATCTAGCTTCAAAATTATGATTGACAGTTGCAGTATGTGAAGTAAATAGAGACTTAAATGTTAATATTTTTTCAAAATACCAGTCAAATCATAGGAGACGGTCGTTTCTCAAAATCTAGACAGCTCATTTTTAAGTTACCCCCACCCCAAACACTCAAATTGCCCCCCTCTGTGGGGCGTGGGCCCCACGTTAGGAAACACTGGGCTAGACTGAATGGACGCTGACATCTCTGAAAGAATTGTATGGCTAGACGGAATGATTGTAGACAGCTCTGATAGAATTGTATGGCTAGACGGAATGAACACACATAGCTCTGATAGAATTGTATGGCTAGACGGAATGAACGCACACAGCTCTGATGGAATTGTATGGCTAGACGGAATGAACGCAGACAGCTCTGATAGAAGTAGAAGCAGCTAAAAGACGTAAAAGGATCCCTTCCTACTCCTTGAGCGTTTCCTCAATGAACAGTCGGCGCAGGAAAAATGTATGAATGAAAGAAGAAGCTAAAACAAATCCCCAGTAATGATGCCATCAACACTGTCAAATAAATGTAAGCAAAATAAATATCAAGACTCTTGTAGTTAACGTAAAGGTTTTTTTGTTGTTGTTGCATTTGTCATACACATTTTTGTCCAATTTTGACCACATAGAATTGTAATATTTACCTGCAGACAGAAGAAATAGCAGAGCTACTTTACCAAACAACGGAGACGCCATCCCTAGTATGATAAAGTGATACAGTTCCCAAGCGTTATTTATACCAAAAGATATGAAATGTTGATGGCTTTCAAATGATAAGTTGTGTGTGTCCAGGTGCCAACAAATAGGTTAACACCTGGGTAAGCTTGATTTTTTTTTAAAACTTGGTTTGTACCCATGTTTTGTTAATACAACGGACATGAGAGTAATACTGTAAGCTGGTACAATGTTGTGTCAAATATTTTGTTATCATTTTAAGGTTCTATAAAACATCCTAGTTGACTAGACCTAGCCTTAAAATGCAAATGCATATTTATTTATGTTATTAAATTTAAAGTTAAAATTACTATATGATGACTATAGCTAAAGCCGACCAAGCCATGGCGGCCGCAATGCGTGAACTTCCCATCTACTAAAGCTACTAAACAAAGGATGTGTTTAAAATAACCCACTTATAAGATTCCCACTTAGTGTTTATCCCCCCCCCAACCACTACCCACACCTGGACAATATTGATATTATAATGCCCCACCCCCTTTTACACTAAAGAAAATATTACGCACCAAACGCAAATGCGGGAATTTTATTTAGTGAAATTGGCGCCATCTGGTAGCGTTAACAAAATTGTTACATAGAGAATGATGTATTTTAATATAATGTGTTGTTGTCAAATTGGCCGGGTATTTAACAGGACATTTTTTCCAAAGACAACAATAGAACAATGGATACAACAGAAGCGTTAGTGTTTTAAAATCGTGCTTTAATTATAAGCTGTGTGGATTTTTTTTATGTGTAAGTAAAGAAATTAGGGCTATTTCAGATTTTTTTGTTGTTTTTTTTATCATTTAACTTGAGTTCTTACTTATCCGAGTTTGTGCCGCATTTCAAGAGCAGTCCCATGCCCCATCCCTGGCCCCATCTCTGGTCCCATCCCTGGTCCCATCCCTGGTCCCATCTCTGGTCCCATCCCTGGTCCCATCTCTGGCCCCATCCCTGGTCCCATCCCTGGCCCCGTTCCTGGCCCCACCTCTGGCCCCGTTCCTGGCCCCATGTCTGGTCCCATCCCTGGCCCCATTCCTGGCCCCATCTCTGGCCCCATCTCTGACCCCGTTCCTGGCCACACCTCTGGTCCCATCCCTGGCCCCATCTCGGACCCCGTTCCTGACCCTTGCCTTATCGTGTACTACTTTGCTCAATATGCACAAAGATAGCATTGACCTTAGGAAAAGAAGCCTAAGAAACGCAGGTGCATGCGATAACTTCATTGGTTGCGATAGAGCTTTATCATTTATTTTAAAGAAAATTTGACAGAATATGGAATGTGACCCTTGAAATCTCCCTCCCCCCCCCCAACCTCTTTTTCCTTTATTGGTTTTGTAGTTACTTCAATAGCGATCACATACAATGAGTGAATAAAATGTCTTTTGTTGGCCTCATTTAAAAATACTGGTCGTAAGCATATATTTTTATTAAGTACTAGAAAAAATGACCCGATGTTATCGGAATAATAATGGTAGATCCTTTGCGATAATTTCTAACTGCTATTGGAAAACTCATCACAATTCATAACTTTAAAAATGTAAGGATATTTACGTTTCTAACATCATTAAAATTTGAGAAGTATTTATCTGCTATATCTTATAGGCCTACCCTACTCCCTTTCACGCTCCTAAACTACTTTTTCCCCACCTCTAAACATGACCTTTAATTACACAGTCTAAATTATCACTAATTATATAACTTTTGTCACTAAAGAAGTTAATTGAGGGACAATTAATACGTTAGAGAAATACTTTAGATTTACCCCTTTTTGTGCCCTTGAATTACAACTTTTTTTTTCTCTAAATCTTGTTTTTAAAAAAAACTTACCTTAACTATCTATCTTTTAAAATTAATTTTTCAAGTGTGTAAAATGATTGGGTTTAATATTCATGGGGATAATTATATAAATGTATCCAAGATTTGTTGACGCCATTGATTTTCTTAATTGGTAAACATATGTATATTTGTAAAAATAGAATGTAACATCTCTTTTTTCACAAATGCAATACGATAGGAGTTAACTATATTATCATCCACGTAAAAATGTACACATCTTATTTCTTTCCTCCGACATGCATTTACCCAAGAAATAATAATACTTAAACTTTTATTAAAATAAAATTGGATTTATAATATTGTTTTGCGCATTTAAATTTATTCGATTTCCGTAAAATAATAGAAAATAACTATGATTGTTTTTAGGAATCCGAACGTACTTAAATATTTTCTGCTCTTTGGAGTTACGTCACTCTAGCTTATTCTTATATATATATATATATTTATTCACTTATTCATTTGTTAATATTTTGTGGTAAAATTTTGTGATTTTTTTTTTTTTTAATATCAAAGATTACTTTAGAAACAACGATACTGTAAACATCAAGAAAGGTTATGTTAGATCTCACGATACTGTAAACATCAAGAAAGGTTATGTTAGATCTCACGATACTGTAAACATCAAGAAAGGTTATGTTAGATCTCACGATACTGAAAAAATATCAAGAAATTTAGTTTACATTAGATCTCACGATATTGTACACATTTATTCTATCCTATCAAATGACATTATCGACCTATTGTTTCTCAATCAGAGGTGTAGAAAGAGGTGGAGGGGGTTGTCCACCAAGGTCGGCTCTTTGTTTGCTTTACATGATGGGTGGCATTTTTTTGAGTTGTTATTGTTTTGTTTTTTAAATGGTTAGTGGGGGTGCAAAATTTTTGTCCCGCCCCTGGCGTCTCTAATCCTAGCTACGCCACTGTCCTCAATACCATTATCATCCGGGAAAGCGTTGCGTGGTGTCCAGCTGGTCATCTGGTAAGTGAGCTTTTTTATTTTTTACTTTTACTTCCAAATTGAAGATTTCATTAACTTTTCGTTTAAGTTTAAAATATGTTTAATAATGCTGAAGTAAACAATTCTGACCCAAGGATGCTAAGGTTCCAAAGAGGGCACTCAAAGCTCTTGCAAAGGATTCTCACAAATAAGCAATGGGGTCGTCCATTAATTATGTCAACAAAATAGTGTGGGGGGGGAGGGGTTTGGAGATGTTTAACAATTGTTGACAAAGGGGACAGGGGGTGGGGTAGGTTAGTTGCCATGACGTTAACAATCACGTTCTCCCAATTAAAATTTTAAGCTTAAAAATTGACTGGTATTTACATTATTTTAACAAATTTAATGAGTGTAAATTAAAATATCTTTATAATTTTTAGGCAATGATTGGTCACACTGACAATGCTTCTATTTTAAGTGCTGAATAGTTGGATGAGGATGATTTTGACTTTTCTGGTATATCAGTTCCGCAAGATGAAAATGATAAATCGGCTACTTTGCCCATTGTTGCGATAGAGTAACACCTGGTTACTCCCTGGGAAAGATGATAGCAGCTAAAAACTCTGCTAAAATTGTCAGCTATACTGACAATAATCGTATTTCTAATTCCACAAACAATGATATTCAGTCTTTAACAACCTTTTCATTGATTCTGCATTATAAAATTTAAGCGTAAAAACCTTTTAACAAACTAAAGATGCAATACAATGTTTTTCCTACAATTTTGTGTCATTTAAATAGATCAGCACGAACTAAAATCTATAATATATTTATTTATATTATAAACCATTTTTATTGGGGGGGGGGGTATACAAATGTTGACATAATTACTTAGATTGTGGTTGAATATTGAAAGTTTGACAGTTGTGACAAGGAGGTGAGGGGGGGGGTCAAAAATTGCTTAAAAATTGTTGACGTAATTAATGGACACCCCCAATGACGTGTCTGATACATACCTCCGATGTCAAACACAGGAATGGCTTCAAGTGCCTGGCGCATGATGAGGCAACTGAAGACACGCTGGCCAGGTAAAATTTTTCACTAAAGCGGAAGGATGACCGCTGTTTTTCAAGAAACTCTTACTTCGGCCACAGTCGATCCCTTCACACCAGTATATCCTTTGTCATTCACTAAAAAGACTTACACTATAATAATTTTAAATATAAGAAAAAAGCTATTTGACTTAATGTTATAAAATAAATTTGAATCAATAATACATTTCTATATAATTTCCAATCTATTCCATTTTTAACTCTCAAAAATCATATACTACTAATAATTATTAACTTTGAAGGAATTTTACATTGTGCAAAATATATGATGTATAGTTTAAATACGTTTGAAGTTTCTAAAGATTTCCAAATTTTAGAATTAAACAATATAATGTTTTATTCTATAATACTAGAATAATATATAATGTTGATAGCTGTGGAACCTCAAGTAAAATTTATTAATTTCTAATGTAATCCAAATAATACGGTCTCTTTTAGTTTTCTTGAACCTCTTGTGCTTAAGCGCTTTACGATGTTTCAAATAGAAAACCATGCTTCTTGAAATCATGTCGTAGCCTTCTTTTCACTCGTGAAGCGCGGGACCCTCTTTGAATACTTCTACCACAGCAAGGTTCTCTCCGGGATCAAACCCATTTTCTCCCTGTTTCCCGATAAAGGATGCTTTCTCCCAAATTCATCGACCACATCTATAAATGAAGGGCTTTGAAGTTTTGGCCGCTTTACCCACATGTCAACGCTATATTGTAACAGTGATCAGCGTGGGGGGAATGGGTGTAGAATTTGAGGGTGCTGAAGACAGTCGCACATATTCAAAATGCAAAGGTGCATTTAGGTGCATACTTGAATTTGAAGTTTCTCTCAGGCAATTTTGAGAAGGAATTTTAGACTTTCCTGTGCGGAGCGCTAAAATTAGCCATAAGTAGGAACAACTCTTACTTGCTTCAGCCCAACATGAACTAAATAGATTCCAATTGAGGCGTCCTTGAGGGTATGCATTTTCCCTAGCTCAATATCGTCTATTAAATCTTTATAGTCCCCAGAAAATATTTTATAAATTAAAAAACAAAGGAATACATTTTAGCAAATACTTTAATTTACCTTTGCAACATTCTACACTCGGAGAGCAACGGAAGATATTGCTAATCTTTAAAAAAATGTAGGTGTAACTTCACCTTAGAAACATCTTGTGAGCTCAGCAATCCCTACAACTGCTGTGGGCCTCGGATATTTTAGGGCTTTAAGATGTGATGTGGATATTGCCTTATTTATCTTTCAATGCAAGGTGGGGAGAGGACAC